CTACTGGATATTGATATGCAAAGAACATGAATCTATGGACAGACTTTAAAACCATCACAAAATTAGTCAAGATGGATCATAGATCATAACGGAAAACACAACGCTATAAAATCCATAGAAGATAGCATAGGAGAAAACTTAGATGACATTGAGTATGGTGAGGTCTTTTTAGATATAATATGAAATACATGATCTATGAAAGAAATAATCGGTAAGTTGACTTCATTCAAATTAGAAACCTTCTGCTTTGTGAAAGACAATTACAGAAGAATTAGATAATAAACTACAGACTGGAAGAAAATATTTGCAAAAGACATCCAAATATATTTAAAAAACTCATAAAACTCAAAGATAAAAAAAATGAGCAACCCAAATCAGGCTGCTCAGTATTTACCCAAAGGAGCTGGCAACTTAGGTGCACAGAAAAACCTGAACATAGATGTTTTTAGCAGCTTTATTTGTAATTGTCAAAACTTGGGCCATCTAAATGTCAACCAGCAAGTGAATGGATAAATAAAGTGTCGTAATTTCAACAATGGAATATTATTCAGCACTAAAAAAAAAATGATCTGTCAACCTATCAAGCCTTGAAAAGTCACAGGGAACCTTAGCTTCATATTACTAAATGAAAAAAGCCAATCTGAAAAGGTTGCATACTGTGCGATTCACACTAACGATGTTCTGGAAAAGGCAAAACTATACAGATTTTTAAAAATAGTGGTTGGGGTAGGGTGGGGAGGGAAGAACAGGCAAAATACAGAGGAGGCTGATAATGGAGAGGCTATGCATATTTGGGGGCAATGAGTATAGGGGAAATCTCTGCACCTTCCTCTCAAGTGTATTGTAAATATAAAACTGATCTAAAGTCTTTTTAAAAAGTCAACTATAATCACAAAGTGATTTTATATGATTTTTGAGGATAATATTTGCTATAATAATACTTGCTGTGAAACTTTCCTTTTATACATACACAAATTTTAATTTTCCAGGATGTGCTTATTAAGTTCAGTTCTCAGGCCAATGTTCAATCCACAGAGCCATACCAGCCAGGGGGATGTGCTTATTAAAAAATTCAATTTTTCTCACAATGAAATTGGAATATTAGTGGAATTTTAAGAAATTTTTTTCTCTACAATATATTTTAAAAAAAGATTTAGATACCTTAGAGAATATGTTTTCAAGAATGTTTGAGTGCATAAATATAAAATTTACACTCTAAATTGCTAAAATTTATAGGTAACATTACATATTTGTTGTAGAAGCCTGACTTTTTTGTGTCTTGATTTCTATCTATGAAGTTTTCCGATCATAAAAAATATTACTTTTAATTTTATTGTTTTTTAAATATTAAGTGTATCAACATTCTAATTAAATTATTTTGTAAAGCTAAATAAATATATTATAAAGACGTGTGCCATGCCAAACAAAACGCATTGATTACAGAACTACAAAACTCACAGGCCCTTCAAGTAGTGTGCACACATGTACAGTAGATTACAGTAAATCTAAGTATATTATCTAAGAGAATTATGATTAGAGACAAATTTTAGATAAATAATCTAACACAAAGTTCTTTGCTGTGAGGTAATTGTTTTCTATTAAACTGCAGATACCTTATAGGTGTTCTGATATATTATGGCAAGGATTGGAAAATGTGAAGAATAAGAACATGAAAGACATGTTCCATCTTTTATGTTTTAAAATTTTTACTGAGCTGCTTCATTATATCATATTCTTCTTTCTTCTGAGTCAAAATTATCTTGACACCATTTGTGAAAATTCACCCATTAAAAAATAGGTTTGCTTGCGCAAAACAATTCTGCATCCATCACCAGTTTACCAGTTTTAAATGACAGAATTTGTTGAGCTGCTTTTCTTGGAATTACTTCAGAACAAAGGATTCATTCTTATATGGAACTTAGCGGGTGTGAAATAATGATGTTTGCGAAAGAGAATGTCTAGGAGGAAATGAAATGGTTCAGTAATTGCCTTGCAAATCAAAAAAAAATGAGGATTTTCTTTATTTTATAGAAATACTTCTTTAGCCTAAAGAAAATACTAGTTAGGCACAACCATCATTATCAATAACTAAGCATAGCCAGAACTAAAACTTAGCAGAAGACTATAAAGAAGATGGTAAGAATTGAATTTTATTTTTATTGTGGTAAAATATACATAGTGTAAAACTTACTGTTTTAACCATTTTTACATGTACAATTCAGTGGCTTTAAGTATTTCACAATGTTGTGTAACTATCACTACTGTTTTCAGAACTTTTTATTATTCCCAACAGAAATTCTGTACCCATTAAGCAATAATATTCATGCTCTCCGCCCCCCACCCCCCGCCCCCAGTCCCTGGTAACTTCTATTCTGTCTCCAAGAATTTGCCTATTCTATATACATCATATAAATGGAATCATAGAATGTTGTTCTTTTGTGTCTGGAATCTTTCACTGAGCATTATGTTTTTAAGGTTGTACATGTTGAAGCAGGTATCAGAATTCCTTTTTGTGGCTAAATAATATTATAATATACATATACATACACACATACATATATACATATTGTTTATCCATTCATGGGCTGACAGACACTTCAGTTGCTATTATCTTTGGGCTACTATGAATAAATGCTGCTATGAACATAGGTGTACAAATACCTGAGTCTGTTTCATTTCTTTGGGGTATATATTACCTAGAAAGGGAATTGCTGGATCACATGGCAATTCTATGTTTAAATTTCTGTGGAGGCGCCAACTTGTTTTGCATACTGGCTATACTGTTTCACATTCCCAGCAGCAATGGACAAAGGTTGTTTTGTTGCAATGCATTGTTTTGCTGTTGCTGCTGCTGAGTTGAACTTCTGTATATATTATGGATATTAATTCCTCATCAACTATATGATTTACAAATATTCTCTCCCATTCTGTGGGTAGTCTTTTCACTCTTGATAGTGGCCTTTGATGCACGGAGTTTTTACTGTAATTTTGATGAAGCCCAATTTATCTATTTTTTGTTTTGTTGCCTCTGCTTTTGGTGTCATATCACAAAAAATTCTTTACTAAATCCATCCTCATAAAGATTTTTCCTGATGTTTTTACCTAAAAGTTTTATAGTTTTAGGTCTTCCAGAACACACAATTCTGATATTCGGAGGACAAGGTCTTTTATTGTCCACCCTCTTTCCAGCAAGCTGCACCAGAAACTGCCTCGCCCACTGCTAATTGCCGCAGAGTTGGGGAATGGAAGATGGTAACCACTACCACGAGGGAAAGGTTGAAAATCACCAGGATACCAGCCTCTCCATCCGGCTCTCCACTGGATGCTCCAAGTTTTCTACTAGAGCCTAGAGTCCAGATTCCAGAGCCCAAAGTAGTTACTTCAGGCATTTCCTGGCAGTTCAATAGCTGTTTAGGTGAAATGAACTGGCCGCCACTCTTCTAGCCTGATACATCTTTGTTTCAGGACAGTCAAGGTCATGGGGTATTTTTGGGGGGAGATGGTTGGTTTTCTTTTGTTTAAAGCCACAGACTTTACCACTGATTCTAGTTGGCCATATGACACATTTGTGCAATGTGAGGGTAGAGAAAATTCAATTAAATTTTATTTGCTTCTGAAATTGATATAAATCCATATTAGGCCAAACTTTTTGATTTATTACTTATTTACCTTTAGAAGCCATAAATAACTCATTCAAAATCCTTTTCTTTCAGATAAATCAGTGAAGCAAGGTTTTAGAAACATTTTTGCTTTATCTGTTCTGTTCTGTAACCAAACTTTTTTGTCAGTTAATTGTAGGCTTCATGAAAAAGAAACAAATTGTTCTGTGTCCTGCATTTTCACCATCTTTTTCCTCCTGTTAGAATAATCTTAAATTTATAGTGTTAAAAAAGACAACAACAAACCAAACCAGTGAGAGAGTGATAACATTTTTTATTTGGCAAAAAAGTTTATAACTTTATCATAAAGACAATGAATCCTGGAGCTTTTCCACTTGAAGATAAACTAGTCTTTAGCATTTCAAAAAAATACATTTCCAGCACCTTCTTTCTAATTGCTAACATTTCTCATGTTCATTTGTGGGTTGCCTATCTAATTACTAATAGCTGATTCAAAATGTTCTTAATTCATGTTTTATTTCTGGAAAACAACAAAAGAGATGTTTAGGGATTAATATCGTGCTTAATGATAGATTTGTTACCATTTTTTTAAAGAAAAAATTTCACTTGTCATGGAATGAATACGTGTCTTTTTGATCAAAGAGCAGATTTTCTCCTAGCAGGACAATTCAAACTTGAAGAGGATCACTATGGGTGAGGCTGGGCAGCAAGTTTTGTTGCAAATCCTTTGTCGGTGTTTTCTCTGGCTTTCTCCAGAACTTGCAAGAGAAAGACTTCTAGAACTTTCTCTCCCTTGGCCTTCCTGTAAGTCCTCCTATTTAAGCCTCTTTTTCACTATTCTCCTAGCTAAAGGAATAAAGCTCTATGTGAACAGTTCCTTTTGAAGCTTTCAAAGAAAAAAAAGATTAATAAACACTGATTATGGAAAATGAGAGGGATGGATTTCAGCCATTAAGAAAATGTTTCTGCCATAAACCGTCCTGTTTAGCTCCTGCCATTTCTGTCCCTGGAGAGGGACTGTCTGCTTAGAGGGACGCTGGATTCAGCTGCTTCCTAGAGGGAACCTCAGTTTTCCGGCCCAGGTAATGGCCTCCAGCTGCCTCCCCATCTGAAAAGACTGTGAGCCCCAAAGCTGTTTCACTTCTGCCCTCCCAGCGGGGCAGCCCTGCTCCTCCTCTTACACCATCACCTTTTCCTCCCCTCTCCTCTCTCCCCTCTTCCCTACCCTCTCCCACACGTGTCACGTTCTCCTCTTCCTCAGTGTCTGCTCCTCTCAGAAGTTAGCTTACCCAGCAAAGTTGTAACTTTGAATTCCTGTTTTCTCCAACCACACTCATGTGACAGGATATCTCCTTATTGGAGGTTTTCCCTAATTTCAGAAGCCCTTTAAAAGTGAGGGCTTCCTCCACCCTTCTTTTCAGCAGGGCTGCTCTGCGAATTGAGCAGGGGAAGGGGCGATCCAGCACCCTCCTTGTTTGGGTTCCTCTGTACCCTCTCCTCTCCATCACTGGAAGGAAAGGATACACTCTGGGCCATGAGGCTGTTTCTGCTCCTGATTTTCCTGTCTCTCAGTCCAGTCGCTGTGCAGCTGTTGGGTAAGTCAGCTCTGGGGTGGAAGCTTTCTCACTGGGGGGTCTGGGGTTGATGGAACGCCTTACTTTTTTGTGTCGTTGTCACCAGATTCCTTTCAATGCCTGCAGTGAGGAACACAGCAAAGCTCCTCTGTGCCTCTAGCTCTGCAGGAAACCTGTTGCTTCTGCCTGGAAGCCAGGCCTGGAGGGTGGGCAGCGCCAGGGGACCCTGCAGCCCTGCAGAGCCGCTGTCTTCCTTCTGACTCCTCTCATCTCCTGTTGTTCCCTTCCTGCTTTACTCTTTGGGGGAGTTCTTCCATGGTCTGTGCACTCTAGTTTTCATTTCACAATATTTCTATCTAACCTCCAACAAGTATCTTCCAAGGGTTTTCGGCTGAAAGGGGGCAGTTCTGGTGTTTCTCCTGGTAGGTTTCAGGACAGGCTCACAGACCAACAAAGGCATTCCGTGTGATTTCCACAATTTGTCCTTTCTTTTTCTTTTTTTCTGTGAAGAATTTTAATCATTCATTGCTTTTATTGCTAGGAAGTTTATTCTTATCTGCAGTCAAAGTTGTTCAAACTGATTTATTCCTGTTTGTCATCTTCTTTTTTGTTTCTTTTTTTCTGGAGACAGGTCATTTCTCATGAGCAACATATTGGAGATTTTCAAATTCTCAAAAACATCATCAAGTCACTATTTTCTATTTTCTAGACCAGTGGTTTTTAACCTTTTTCATCTCATGGCACATGTAAACTACTAAAATATTGCAGCACACCAAAAATATATTTTTTGTTAATCTGATAAAATGTAGGTATAATTTTGGTTTGTTCACACTGGTGGCTCTTGTTGAGTTGGCCTTTGTCATTTTATTTGACAATCTAAGGGAAGAGAGGTCAGTACACCTGACTAAAATAGTCAAGTATTCCATGTTTTAAAAATTCTTGTGGCACATCAGTTAAAAATTGCTGATCTAGACTTAGACTTCAGAATGAGAGTGACTGGAAGAATTTTTACTCTCAATTCTCCTTCTCTCTCTCTCTTTTTTCTCTCTCTCTGTTGTTCTAATCATAGAAGATCTTTATTAAAGAATGCATATTCTTGTGATTCAAAACAAAATATTTAAAAGAATTATATACCTAAGAAAATTGACATAAAAGTGTTTTATTTAAATTGTTATAATAAAAAAGTAAATAGACATTTAGAAGATGTTTGTCATTTTAGAAAACACAGGCGTTAAGGATTAAAAATAACTTTAAAATCATCACCTGTATGTGCCCTTTTTCTGAAATTAATGTTAATTTTCTATTGGTATTTCATCAGTTCATGATTGTTTGGTAGAAATCATTAGAAAGCTCCCAGTTCTCTTTTCAGACGAAATAAGAAGGGGTTTTAACTTTGAATATATGGTTCTCCATCTCCCTTCATTTCTCTCAAATCTACCAACACTGCCCGCCGCTGTGCCAGTGGCTCTCCACGCGCTGTTGAAATGGTGGGGGCAGGGCTGCGCGGACTCGGTAAGGTGGAAGTTCCCAAGCAACTGGGAAGCTTTTCAGGAAGGGAGTATCTGATCACAGAAGATGTTCAGTCGTAATAAGCTTTGAGTAGTAGTGGTTATAAAAACACAAGTGAGGTTTGCACCCTTCCAGGAAGCCGCTTAATTTCTCTCTGCTTTGATTTCCCTGTCTACAACAGGGGAAACTTAGTATTACCTGTCCCATTCGTTGTGCAACGATTCAATGATTAAATGTTGAGCGCCTCGTGCGGTCCATGGGAATGGCTTCATCAGTGTTAGCTAAAGCAGTGACTTTTTTTCTTCCATAGTAGCAATTAATTGTCCAATAATAGTAGTATATTAAATATTTAAGGAGAGGCTTCCCAAGAAACAATGCTGAAGTAAGATTTCCAGAGCCTGAGTTGACATTTCACCTTAGCCCTGGCTACGCAACTACTGACCACCTCAACCAGTCAGTCATGCTGAAGGGGCAGCTGCTTCACCTGGTGTGAGAGGACTGTAGCACGGGTTGGACATTGTCACAGAGTCCATCTTAAAAGTCTGTTTTGTGAGGAGAATTAGTATATTCCTCAGGGCCTCACAGATTAAAACTAAGCAGGGAAAATCTCCTAAGGGTGTGCTGTCTCAAGTAGAATAGTCTGCTTAGGAGAAAGGTCCCTGTCACAAAGAGTCTTCAGACAGAAGCTGGATGACCCGTTCAAGGGCTGTGTCTGAGGCCTGGACTCTAACCCAGCTCAGTGCAATAGAAACATAGACCAACTTATGTTGCTGCATTAAAAAAAAAGTAAAAAGAAATAGATGACATTGATTTTATGAATATATTTTATCTAGTACAATATATCCAAAATATTTTTAGTCAACATTAAAGATTAAATTTTCAAAACCTGGGGTGTATTCTATATTTATAGCATATCTCAAGTCACCCTGACCTTGTGTCAAGTGTGCTATAGATCCATGGGGCTATGGATACCGTATTGGGCGGCACAAGTACAGTCCCTAATTTTCCTTAAAGTGTAAATGCTTTGGGGGGAAAAGTGTTCCTCAATTTGCTTAGGAATCTTTCCCTTCTTGAGACAGCAGAATACCTCATTCTGATGAATGTCTTCTCCTCGATAGGCACAAATATGAGAGAAGCAGGGAGGTGCTGCAGATCTATTTAGCTGGAGAATAAAAAACAAACAAAAATGTCGGTAAGGGAGCCCCTTTCAGTATCTTTTTTGGGAGCCTATCATTCTTATTTTACTTTTTCTTGGTTTAAGTGGCACATGATGAGTGCTGATATCTAAATAAAGCAGAATACCTGCTTAGTTACCAGTAGGTGGTAGGATGTATGAGTCCTCCGAACCCTCTCCCCGGCTCCTTATTTGTTGAGAACCCACAGAAAGGTCTCCCTTATTCCTTGTGGTTTATGTCCTTTCCACTCAGAACCCTTTCTCTCATGAGCATCCCTGTTCTACACAGGAGGCCCAGCTTAACAGAGGAGCCCCTCTCCCTCTGTTCCCTTCTACTTGACCTGCTATCTCTTGAGCAGGAAGAACTGCATTCAGGGTGATGTTTGGGTCTCAGAGGGGATGTAATTAAAGTAGAGGTACAGTGAAAGTTGCTTAGACACAGAGGCTGGACCCCAGCAGAGAAGTTAAGCTTGAAATGAGTTAGCTTGGCTCACTAGCCATGCTGTGTTGGCAAATGTCACAGTGGTTCTTGGAAGAAAAAAAAGCATTTATTTGTGGCACTTACAGATTTCCAAGGTGTAACAATCCCACTGTGGTTAATTTCAAACTACCAGTGTGGTGCCCCTGGGGCAGAGCTGGGAAGAGACATTCTTACTGGCCAGTGAGAGTGAAAAAAAAAAATACAGTGACTTTGATCTCTAGCACAGGCCCATGCCACACCCAACCTCCTTGGTTTATGGGTAAAAAAATTGAAGTTCTGAAAGGTTAAGTGATCTTTTCAGGGTCTCACAGCTAGTTAGTAGAACAACTAGCTGTTTAGTGCTCTGAATTCCTGACTCCCAATGGAGAGTTCTATTAAAAAGAAATAACGTATGTTTGCTGAATGAATGACTTAATGTCAATCTAGGATTTCTTCAATGAACAATTCCCCACTGCCATTCTCTTACGAGTTTTAATTTTCACACAATTTTCACTTTTCTTTATTTCTAGTCTCCATCTTTCTGCAATTGTGTAGCAAAACCAAGGTCTTGTCTTCTTTCTTTTTTTATTGCTCTTGTATTTGTCCATTTTTCTTGTTATTTTTTTCAAACTATACCTGCTTTTTCTATAAATCAGAGATGGAGATATGTGTATGAAGGACATTGCAGTTATGTGTAAGGGGACAATTATTCTGTTGCGTGACATTTTAGTGTCTTCTAAGGGCGCTGGGCCTAATTACTAAGTCAGGAGAGTCATCACTGGTTAAATGTGAACTTCAGATAATCAGAAGTGCTCGATCTCAGTTGAAGACAAGGGAGCTGGAGATGATACTCTACTTCAATACACATAGGCTATAACCTGGCCTCTGAGACTGAACTTTGAGTGACGAGGGCAGAACCGGGTCACAGAGACCAGAGAGGAGCTGAACAAAGAAAGTGGTTTCCAAAGCAGAATGTACATGCATAGCAGAGAGGAAGAAAAATTGATGTCAAAATGAGAATGGTAGTGACGTCTTACCTCTTGGCTATTATCAAGCATTGTTGGATGAAAAAAATTGTATGGTTAGGTTGGTCTCCAGAGGAGTACAGTGAAAATTAGGTGGGACAAAAACAAGAGTAGGAAGAAATAAGAAGGGCCCTTTCAAAAGAATTGAATGTGACATCAAGAGAAAAAAAGAATTTGAAGACAAAGTCTTCCCATTACAAACCAAGTAAAGGTCACAGAGCACTTTTAGATCCTTAATCAGATCCTTACAACAACCTCTTGAGGTGGGATGGGTACGTGTTACCATGCACCTTTTACTATAGGAGAAAAGTGAAGCTTAGAAGTCAGCTAGCCAGTAAGGACCAGAGCTGATTCTTGACCATGGCCTTCTGGCTCTGAGGCTAAGCAGCAGATATAATTTACCAGCTGGAGTGTGTTGATCAAGAAAGGCATAGATGTGCTTCAAAACTACAGTATGTTGAAGAAGTCTTTAGTCACTTTATTTGTATGAATTGCTTAGAGTTTTCACTTGGGGGAGGGAAGAGACAACTAACATTTATTTGAGTGGTTACTATATGCAAATAATATGTTGGACACTTTATATACATGATCTCATTTAGAAGTTCACAGCCACCCTATCAGAAAGCATCATGATCCCCATTTTACAGATGAGGAAATTGAGGCTAGAATGATTAATTTATCTAAGGCAACATAGCTAGTAAATAGTGGAACCAGAATTTGATCCCAAGTTTGCTGACCCCGAAGAACATACCTCTATTACATCACCTATGTCCTGAGGATGGAAACTCTGGGTCTCCATTGTCTGTCTCTTTGTCCCTCTGTCTGGGCTGCTGCAACAGCTCTCTGTTTTCTC